GAATAGTAACCTCCTGAGGGAGGGAGAGACGATCTACTTCAATGCTTTAAAAAAAAAGAAGTGTTCCTGGTTTCAAGTCCATATTTAGCAGTCAAAGCAAGTTACAATTTGACACATATGTTTGCTAAAACCGTGCATGGTAGTTGATCAGTATTCTGGTTAGTAGATTAACCGTTAGATATGCACATTGGTGAGAATCTACGGTTAATAATAAACACAGAAATCTAAACAAAAGACAATCAGATCACTGTCTACGTCTAAACTATGTGTCTTTACTTACAGCGATGAATGTTTTCTGCTGTTTTTCTAGTGCCATATGGAAAGAGGGAAAAACAAAAGGTCTCATGTGGAGAAATAAATGCTCTCAGAGTAATACCACAGTAACATCAAACTCAGGTCATGAATATTACATGCAATAGGGATGGAACGGTTTCATGTAAACCATGGTAAAATTCAGATTGTCTGTATTTATGTATTATTATGAAATAAAAGCAATAGTAATAATAGTAATTCAATTTATTATGCATTTTAATTACTGTTAAAACTAGGGCTGCACAGCATCGATATCGCAATTTATACGTCCACAATAGTCACTTTGCATAGATATGCACTATGCAAGTTATTTTTATTTTAACATCTATAACCATAAAGCATGCACTGTTTCACTTTTATCTTTGCTTTATTGCATTAATCTATGCTTGTAGTTTGTTTATTACAAGTTATGCAGGATTCACTGCTTTACAGAATCATCCCAATCAATCAAAATGAACACGTTTGATGAGACTTTAGGCACCAATTCTCATTATTGCTTATTAGCATGCATGTTATTGAGATATTGGCTGCTTATTAGTACCTATAAAACTCCATAATCAGCACAAGCTTATTCTACATCCCTAAAGCACTAAGAAAACTTACTTAATATCTGTTAAGGAGCAAATTAGGCAAAAGTCATATGTAATGGTTTGCTAATAGCGAGAATTGAATCTTATGAAGTGCTAAATTTATAAATCCTTTCCATATTCAACCATTTGGTGAAAACGTTTAGATACAGTGGATATATAAATGGATATATATATATATATATATGTAAATGGATGTTTCCCAGTACTGGGTTGCGGCTGGAAGGGTATCCGCTTTGTAAAACAGATGCTGGATAAGTTGGCGGTTCATTCAACTGTAAAGAGCTCTGAACAATAAAAGGACTAGGCCAAAATAAAATTAATGAATAAAATTGTCCTGTTTGTAACATTAATAATGAAATTTTATTGAATTATTTATATGTTTTTTTATTATGCAATTACCTAAACACTGTTAGACTCGAGAAAACAATAAAACATTGTTTATTTAAATTGTATCTTTTTTTAATCATACTGATATCTGCTTGTAGATCAGTTTATTGTATTTTATTCAGATGCACTTCACTATAGAATCATCCCATCATCAATCAAAATTTATTCATTCTTTCCAAATAGAAATATTCAAGACATCTGGTGAAATTTTATTCATATCGCAATATATACTGCAAAATAACAAAACATCATAATGTTAGATTTTTTCCAATACCGTGCAGCCCTCAAAACATTCTCTACGTTTTTTTGGTTTAATCAAAAACTAGTGTTCTCTGAATGTTGCAGGGAGGTTATTGTGTAACAACCCAATGAGAACCATCCATGAAAGTTCTCTTGTTGCAGAGGGAACGTTCTACGTACCTAAAGAAAACTTTCCTGGCTTATCAAGGGAAACATTCTGGGAAATAAAAATTGTTAGCCGAGCTGGAATTTCAGACAAGCACTGTACAATAATATCCCTTTAGTCTTTTCTTCATCTAATATTCATTGATGTTGTATGATGTGCTGGATATTATCTCTAACAGCAGCATTTCCTTCCCTACTTAACCGATTAAACAGAGGAAACACGCTGTGCAATTTTTCTATAAATGAATATTTCTGAGACAATGACGACGATAACCGCAATGAAATAAACAATGTGGGGTTAAATGCAAATATTGTGTGACTCACAGTTCATCAGAAGCAACTGGATAACCGTTTCCGGGTCGAAATAAAAGTCAAAAGACAACTTTAATGCAGTATCAGTTCAAATCCGATGAAATATGAAGGAGATACTCCGTATGGACGCCGAGAAGTGAATATTGCGTTCAGCTTATAAATAAACAGGGTCGAATTAACACGTCACAATCCAGCTGTCAAACTGACCGGTAGTGAACAAACGTTTTATAATCTATAACGTTTCATGATTTATGGTGAGAGATAAAAACCACACAAAGCGTCCAACCTGGGGGTTTGGGTTTACGTTACCAGAGGCCCGACAGGTTAGATGTGAATCTTCAAACAGGTTTGAGATGTCCAGGTGGCTGACTATACAAACTTAGCTTTAGCTAGCTAGCTCTGTCTTGAAAAGTGCACATTAATGTCGCTGTAAAAGTGTAACTTACCATTTCGACGGCTTGTTGAGAGCAGTCGGGTAATGTCTGTGAACAGCAAACCGCTTTTTGGTAAATGCCGCAGGATAAATATCAGTACATTTCTAATTGACTGCTCGTAGTTTCAGAGCCCCATTGAAGCAGACTGGAGAAGCGCTGTCCGATTCGCGGACTCTTTTGAGTCGGATCTTTTCAATTGAACCGATTCGTTCACGATTTTTTGGACGAAGAACGAGCAATTGATATTAAAATCAAACTTAACAGCTATGACAGTTAAGCCGTTATTAAAATGTTATTTATAATCCGCACTAGTATCTATTATCGTATTGTTTACAGATAGCCTACTGTCTGTTATTACTTATTCAGCAGAACCAGTTTAAGTTTAATGGGTATAAATATACATTCCAAGTGTCCCTAGTAATATTTTTAGCAATATTTGATTTATTCTATTAAATAGGGTATGAGTGTCAAATAACACTATTAAATAAGAAGTGCATATCATCTAATGAATAAACACTAATTTAATAAAGAATAACAAATTTAATAGTTAAGTGTATTGAATAAAATAGTTACAACAGTATTAAGTTATCAAAAAGATGTAGCTTGCTAATGAATTGTTAGTATGAAATATTTACTACTCAGAATTGAAATTCATCAATGTGAAGGATAGATTGCCTTATTCAATGGCAAACATATGAAAATGTTTGTATTTAATCTAGGCTATTAAATGAGTTACTATATTAAATGTGCAATAGTTTGCCATAATCAGTAGTGTCCTAATAAACAGCAGTATGTGTCAACAAAGTTTTATAGTATGCTTTTACAACTGAGATGTCCAAACTTTGGCCCCCAGGCTAAAGTTGGCCCATTGTAACCTTTGATTTGGCCCACCATCCCATCTGAAAAGAGGCAGAGAATGATGGAGAGGGTTGGGGCGAATTCCTTTAACAGAGATTTTTATTTCTGATTTAACGTAACTTTTATGTTTGTTTGTTTTCTTTCTGAGCAACAACAAACCAAACTGAAAACTAATGACTCAATTAAATGCTGTAAATAAATATTTTTAAGGTGCAGCCTGACTAGTGTAACACTGTGATTGTTTTTACTATAAGAAGTTCGTTATAAAATTAATAAATATTCTGCATTAGTTAATATTATAGAACAATGTTTTCTAGTTATTTTTAAATATTAAATACATTATTAAATCACCATTGGCAACTTTTATTTAATAGAGTTTGGTATATTAAACTTTAGCCCACCACGCTCAATCAAGACAAAAAAAAAAGTTTGGCCACCCCTGTACAGCACAGTTGATTATAACATGACGTAAAAAAAAAAAACTATTGAATCGGTTTCTTGAATCGAACTGTTTGGAAGAACCGACTCAACAAAATGAGCCGGACTTCCCGTCACTACAGAGCGGCAGGTGGCGTCATCTCCACCAACTGCAGCGCGCATGCGCTTTGCGTATTCCTGCCTCCACAAAGCTGTCTTGCAGAAAGTCCTCGTGCTGCTTTAAAAAATAGAAACTGATTTCTGCTTCCAGCAATAACTAGCAAACGTTTTGTGTTTCAATCGCAAAGTAATGAATCAGCTTTACTGTCTATCTTATGAAAACAGTTTTACCTCTTCTCTGACATAAGGCCAAGATATTCAGATGTTGTTGCCATGACAAAACAGGGGGCTGATTCAGGTTGCCATAGCAACGGAGATAGGCTATAAGTCAAATAGGTTTAATCTGTGTATGATAAAGTATAATCCACACTCCTGCTGCTCATTCGCAGTCACACAAATAACGTTAGCCCACCCACAACGCGAATTGTACTGCAAAAACACCTTTCAGCTCGTGCTAACCAGTAATTTATCTAAAACTACTAGTCCAGTGGTCTGCCTACGCAATTCATGCATCTAAATAGGGCTGTAATGTATTTGACTCTTTACCGTTGCCAAGCTTTGAACACAAGATGTCGCCAACTCAAAGCCATTTAACGGGATAGTTCACCCAAACGTGAAAATTCTGTCATTTATTCACCACTTGATCCAAACCTGTTTGAGATTCTTTCTTAGCTGTTGAACATACAAAATTATTTTTTGAAGAAAGCCTGAAACCTGTGATCATTCCATAGTATTTGTTTCCTATGAAATTCAAATGTTTAAAATAATAATAATAATAATATTAATAATAATTCCTTATTTAGCGCTTTTCTGGGCATTTATGTGCTTTCCTCCTCATCCACCATACACCACACAACAGCTGATTGGTGGAGAGGAGACAATTATGATATGGGGGAGAGAGGGTTAGAAGGCCATGATGGAGAAAGGCTAGTGGGCAAATTTGGCCAGGATGCCAAGGTGAAAGCTTTTTCGAAGGACATCTTGGGATTTTTAAGAGTCAGGACCTTGTTTTAACATGTCGTTTGAAAGACAGCGCTCACCGAGCAGTATAGAGTCCCCGTCACTATGGATTCAACAGAAGTAATTAACTCATAAGGTCTGGAACCACTTGAGGGAGAGTATATATTAATTATATATTTCCGGTAAATAACACGAAAGCACTTTGTGGTCGCATAGGGTCACTTTTATTACAAAAAAGAAACATTTTTAATAAACAGTCTTTAAGAAAATATGGCCTTCAACAATAAATTAATATAAATACTGTAAAATACAACTTTACAAAAATATAAAAGCACATTAAACATTAGACTGAACACAAGCGTACAAATAATTCACTCTTCAAACTGTTAGTGCATGTAGAACCTTTCTACTGAGGCTTCAAATTCATGTTCATTCATCCTTGATGTTTCCGATATATGCCTTAAATGGTCATTATTTGTTTTCATTTTTATATTTTATGTCTTTCGTCCAGAATACATAATGAATAACCATATATACACATTTGGCAGTCCAAGCTATGCTGAAATAGCAGATACAGAGGGTTCAGCATTCTCCAACTTCATTTTTAAAAGAGACTTCTTGTCTTCAGTAGTAAGTTGCGGGCAGACACGTCTCCTCGGTTCATCTGCTTGTATGGTTACTTCTGGGACAACCTTGGTCTGTTAGTATTCCTGAGGCTGGGTGAGTTGACCGCTAAAGAGCAATGCACCTGTGAAGTTAAGCAGGGGATATTATGAATGAGGAAGCCAACTAGCGATCAAATAAAATGTACACTAGGATCTATCCACATTCATCAAGATGAAATTGTAAGTAGAAACACATTAAATGAAAGCACAACTGACCAGTGGGTTTGTGTTGAATGAGGAAGAAGAACGGCCGGTCAAGTGTGATTTCCTCCACAGCCATACGGGAGTAGATGACGGCCGCTGTGGAACCACAGAAATCATGTAAAAGATGCATTTTGGTGAAACTACAGCAATTAATATTTCTAATACTACTAAATCTCTGTTGCAATTAAGAGTTTATACCTGTGGCAGATGAGCCTTTGGTTCCTTCTTCATTCACTTCAAGTTTTACTCTCTGAAGGACCTTGGATACACATAAAGGTTCCTCAGCTGGTGGAGGAAAAGGAGAGAGAAATTATTATATTGACAACATATCAGCTAGGCCTGTGTGATATATCATTTGAGCATCGATATCACAATTTGTGTATCTGCAATAGCTACACCAGAGCACATGAGAATTGTGGAGTCATTACATTTTAATTATAATACAGTGAAAGTTTATTAACTGTGTGTTTTCAAGGTCTGTGTGAATTTTAAGCAAGTTTAGAGCATTTGGTCACAAATTATTATTATGTTTGAACAGGGTATTCGCAGGCTCCTAAAAAAATCTCAAAAGCTGAATTTTAGGCCTTAAAATGCCTTAAAATTGCTGAAATGTTGTGTTTAGGGCTTAATTTTTTTTACAGGCCTTAATTTCCTTTGTTCATGTATAGCTAACCAATCTGGCCATCAACACCCATACAGTCACAAACAATCCATCTCAATAAAACTTTTAACTTTTTATTTAAAAATGGCATTTAATTACTTTCCTTACACATTTGCTTAAAAGTTTTCAGTTTATTTAGTGCTAAGGACACTGGTCTTAAAAATGTCTTAAAAAGTCTTAAATTTAACTTGATGAAACCTGCAAAAACCCTGTTGTTGCTTTCACAAAGATGAACTGTATTTAATTATTTATACAACAAGAATATACAGCTTAATTGTACATTTGATCATTTTATTTCTGTACCTGAATACTGTTAGACTCAATAGTTTGTATCTTTGCTTATCTATGCTTATAGTTTATTTTTATTTTGTCCCAAATGCTCATCTGTAGATCCCATACAAAATCATCCTAATCAATCAATCTAAAAATGTTAATTTTTCAAAATAAAGCTATTCAAGTCATCTGGTCGAATAATCGCAGTATAAATAGCAAAACATATAAATATCAAAAAAAAAAAAAAAAAAATATATATATATATATATATATATATATATATATATATATATATATATATATATATATATATATATATATATATATATATATATTTTTTTTTTTTTTTTTTTTCCAATATTGTGCAGCCCTAATATTAACTAAATGGCTACAAATGTTCCCAAACAAAGCTGTTAATAATTCCTAATACTCACTAGTAATGCGAGAGAAATCAGCTCTACTCTGGCTGAAAATGTCTCCAAGACCCATTCTGCTCAGTGTGGACTTCAGATCAATTTCAGTATCCATGGAGAACCTGAAAATATAACATAAGTTAGGCCTCCTATTTTACATGTTCATCATCACAACAGAAAATCCCAAAGCTTACAGAAATAGATCAAGTTGGTTACCTTGGAATAGACAGCTGTTTGCTTATCTTCCTCATTTCTTGTCTCCACTGGTGGATCCTGCTGCTGCTCAGCTCTTTGTTCAAGGCAGACAGAGGCACGTCCTTCTCAAAAGGTGTCACCAGGAGCATACTTATCGACTCCCCCTCATAAGGCATCTCGATGACGTCATAGTCCACGCCATCCTTAGACACGAACTCACCTAAAATAAAACAACTTTGTAAATGACCACAAAAATTCTTGTTTTCTCACTAACCCATCACTCAATTTCTTTGATACTCACCATAGTTGAATTTTTGAGTGGTTGTCATCATGGGAACAGATACAGCACTGCCGTTAACTGTGTGGAAGAGCTGCTCTCGAGTGTTTCTGGGGTCAAATGGTGTCTTCCAGACCCCGTGGAAGTGCAGGGCATTCAGGAAGACTAACCGTGTCAGTTCACTCAGCACTCCAGATGGGAGGAACTCAGAAATCATTCCTAGGATGATGACAACAACAAACAAGTTTAGCATCTTATATAGCATATGGTGAGCTTATATTGCCACGCAATCCTTTTTTATCCAAAGAGTTGTACAAATGAAGAATATCAAAGGCAGTTTAGTCAAAATAGCATACGCACCATCAGTGTGGTCAGACGTCCAGGAGTTGATCACCTGCCTGGCCATCTCTGGCTGGCTGAAGTCTATCTGGTGTGGGACGCTCTGGAAGGCTTTGCTCAAGCTGCGCCTAAAGACCTTTTCCAAGATGATCTTCCGGTCAACCATGACCCCGCTGGCTACCTCCACTCCATCTTCACTGGCCAGATCTCTCTGAAGAAGCCTCTGCAGTTTGGGCATTCCTCTTTCTGTCGGAAAGAAAGAGAAAAGCAACATTTACATATCACATTCAGAATACATTTTTATTTAACAACATGATAGTTTTTGTTTAATCTGAGTCGCTTTTATTTATCTACCTTGCAGAGAGTAGCCCATCTTGGAGGCGAGCAGTTTTAGAGTAGCGCCATAGGCACCCATCTGAGCCATTCCCAGCACCGAGGCGATACCATATGGAGAGAGAGCCAGATTTCGATCCGGAGCAGACTGGACGGCTTCAGCAAACACCTGTAGCCCAAAATCTGTCTGTTTGTCCTGGATAAGGTTGCACAAGCTTGATGCGCAAAGGGCAAAGATCAGTAGCACACTCAGGCTCTGCATTCTGAATATCTATTGAAAAAGACAGAGAGAGAGAGAGAAATGTCAGCGATTATTGTATATTTCTGGGTGACAGTGAGGGTGTGTTCACTTAGCATATTGTTCAGGACAAAAAATGTTTCAACCTCCTCCAAAAAGAGAACAAGCTCTTTACTTTCCCTTGTGAAAATTCTCTCTCATGTGCAAGACTCAACACCAACCACTCAAACGCAATACCACGCCGTCTCTGTTTGCTTGTCTTGAATCACTCATATCTGGCGTGTTTATGTAAAGACTACCATAGCACATAATCTTTGACTTTAAACACTAAAAATGACAGTTAACCCAATGCTGAACATTCTATTATCATTTACTCACTATTAACATGTTAAAAATTTAGGGTTCTTTCATTTATTAAACAATTTGATTATAATATTATGATTTTAAGTTATTATATTTTGAAGAATGCTGGAAACCTGCAACATTTGATTTTCATATTTGGACAGTCAATAGTTACAGGTTTCCAGCATTCTTCAAAATATCTTTTTATCTTCAACTGAAAAAAATAAACAAATAAAATAATAATAATAATTATATATATATAATTATGAAAGTTTGAAACCACTTGAGGGAGAGTAAATTGAGTTAATTGAGTTAATAAATGTGGGATAACCCAATTTTAAAGTAAATTATTTTTTGGTAAAGTGTACAGGTCAGACCACCTAATATTTAGCTTTAAATTATTAATAAATATTAATTGCTTTTTGCACATGCTTTTTACCCTCAGAGCAAACCAAAATGTCTCCAATTAATCGATCACAAGTGAATGTTACCAAAATTGTACTAGAAAAGTTTGACTCTCGACTGAATAACAATCAGCCCATATGTAACAATTAGCCTAAGAAATGAGACAGAACAAGAACACAAAGTTACCTTAAAGATGCTTTACTTCTGTAGAGTTTCCCTGTAGATGTAAGGCGTTACTGTGATCATCCAATGCAGTGGAAGCCTAGAGCTGCTCTGTGTGCCTGCCAGGAGCTCGGTCTCTATTTAAAGGACTCTTGTCCTCCCCCTCAGACGCGCGCGCACTAGCGGAAGTTATGATGTCATATTGTCTGCTTTTCATTCCCGCTCTCCGCTTTTCACACAGACAAACATAAACACTATTTTTTCAACGGTGTCTCTCCCCCTGTCTGTCTCTCCTTTCATTTTTACTAGACTGTTAAACAGTTAAGTCATACATTTAGTCTGACAGAGACAGCAGTCACAGCACCTCGTTCAGTCATTAAAACTTTGTAAAGCGTTTGTTTAATGAACAGTGTTGAGTAAATCTTAATCTTTTAAAATGCCTTCACGTTAAAACAAGTGACCTAGTGTTACTTTAAAAAGTAACTTATCCAACAATGTCAATGAAGCACACCATATCCATTTGTGTTTCTGTATGTATTAATAGTATTGTGTTTATTTTATTCCAGATTAAAATAAAATACAACAGACAGACTAAAATGCTCAGCTTCACACAATCGATTTGTGTTGGAACAACATGAAAGAATTAAGTTTACTTTTAAACTTTTACTATTTTATTTGGATTAAACATAAAACACTTAAATTGTCCCAAAAACTCAAGAATTGTGTTGTTTTAGCTCATTTTAACATGTAGCAAACATGTAGACCGACAGACAGACAGAAGGACGGAGGGACGGACGGACAGAGTCCAAAAGAGATCATCGTAGATAATAAATAAATAAATAAATATATATATATATATATATATATATATATATGCAATTCACTTAATTTGAGAATCACATAACTTGATAATAATATCAATTAATTTTATATAATAATTCTGTCCAGAACAAAAGATGTGTGAGAAGGCACACTGAAATTAATTTTAATAGAGCTACATTGACAGAACTGGATGAGCTGACATCTATGTATGCACCAAAAATAAAAGTTGACCTAATCCATCTTATTATCACACAGTCCATCTAGCAGCCTCACTATAAATATATAGTCTTCATCTGGAGCAATTGAGAACATTAGAGCAAACCCTTTGACTCACCTTTGGGGAAAAGTGATGCATCACATGACCATACATGGCTCTACCAAACACACACATTCCTTCACACACACTCATAAAGAAGGGCCACATTCCCTGAGCATAAGGAATAGTTTGGCGTATGGGGACAAAAGGACTGGAGACATGGAAAAACTGATGATGAAATAACTTCTAAAACTTTCAAGTCATGTCCTATGAGCTTTATCATCAAGACCAAACATGCTCAGGGAATTCTGACAAATGTGTCTGCATTGAAACATGCCTACAAAAACAGGTAATTCATTTAGGGAATGTTAAAGTACTTACCAACTGCTTTAATGGAATACAACATGTGTCTGCTTAGCAACGAACTGTAAAGAGCTTTGAACCAGACAATGAAGTGTCAAAATGAAAATTCATAGGCCATAAAGTTTGTATACACTGTAAACATTGTGTCATGCTTTAATCGAGTTCACAGATGTTTTTGGTTTTCATGGGAGCTAAATGCATTGTTAAATCTCCCTCGTCTCTCTGCCTTAATGCATTTACATGCTTGATGTCTTCAGGATTTACAGTCATCCCCTTTAACGGCCTACATATAAACTACAATTAGTACTGTCATGGATAATTTTATTAGCACCTCAACAATGACATAATACAGATGTGTTACTGTAACTTTAACTCCCTCAACATGTGTCATGTTGCCCTGTCAACAGAGTCTCGCCTCCAGTAAACCTGTGAATGGAAAACCCATTTTGGAAAACTCCATTTCTCACTGAATAAGCATGAGAGCTCAGTTCGCTCAGTTTCACTGTAACCACAGGCAACCATCCAAGAAACATTTGGGAAAGAAAACGAGCCAAAACCACATTTTGGACAATTTGGAGAACTTTTTATGCAATATACAAATACTCCAGTTTCCGGCCCTGAGAAGAACAAAATGAGAGTTTTTTTATTAAACATAAAAATAATACTAATCAGCAAAATGATGTGTTATTCTCATCTAGTGAAAATGTATTTTTATTTACATTTTCTATGGTCAATATAAGTTTGTGTGAAAAGGAAAGGTTTGGAGTTGTCTCCTTTTGACAGAAATCTGGCTCTAATTGACTACCATCAGTAAAAGTGATGGTATTTCCTGAATTTAGTTGCAACTTCTATTATGACAAACAGACTAACATGTGTTTGTTTCATGGATCTCTTTCTCTTTCCCAGAAAAGAGAATTCAACTGATCTGGTGTATATATATATTTTTTAATTAACCTAAACAATACAATCTTCAGAAAAGTTAAGAAATCAATATTTGGTGGAAAAACTTTCATTTTAATATCACAACAAATGACAACAATTATTATTTTCTTAAAAATTAAATAAAATAACAGTTTAATGATTTTTAATGACCATATTTTTTTATTTTACATTTACAGAAGAAAACAAATAGACATTTTATTCAAATACAAAACTAATGCAGAGAATCTTTTGAAGTCTCTCTTTTTTTACATCTGTAGAACAAAATGTAAATAATATGACAATATCCAGTCTCTCTCTCACAGAAAAAACTCATTCTGTGCAGTTTTTTAGGCTTTTGAGAAGTGAGGACATCAGCAACATCCTTATAATTCACCATGTCATGTAATACATGTGCCATACCTATATACACAACCTGACAAAAGTCTTGTCATTGATCCGAGTTGTAAGAGCAACAAATAATAACTTGACTCAGTTGATCATTTGGATAAGTGGCAGAAGGTATGAATCATCTGTTAAACTGCATCCCAATCATCACAAATACTGCAGAAGACCTATTGCAACCCGCATGGACCCAAGATTCTCACAGATATCAGTCAAGTTTGGTGAAGGAAAAATCATGGTTTGGGGTTACATTCAGTATGGGGGAGTGTGAGAGATCTGCAGTGTGGATGGCAACATCAACAGTCTGAGGTATCAAGACATGTGTGCCGCCCATTATATTACAAACCACAGGAGAGGGCAAATTCTTCAGCAGGGTAGCGCTCCTCATACTTCAGCCTCCACATCAAAGTTCCTGCTTGCAAAGAAAGTCAGGGTGCCCAGTCACCAGACATAAACATTATTAAGCATGTCTGTGGTAAGATGAAGGAGGAGTCATTGAAGATGAATCCAAAGAATCTTGATGAACTCTGGGAGTCCTGCAAGAACACTTTCTTTGCTATTCCAGATTACTCTATTAATGTTAAGTGACAAGACTTTAGTCTAAGCAACTTCAAACCTTACTGTCAAAATTAAATAATGAAAAATCAAGGCAGGATTGTGTTTTATTGTGGTAAAATCAGCGTATTCTGGAGGCTTTGCCTTTCATATAAACCACTTCTGATGCCAAATGATCAAATAGATGTCAAGTTATTATTTGTTGTTCCTAAAACATGGCTAGGCTACAAGTATTTTGTGAGTGTACACCACCTCCATTGTCATAAAGTATACTCTAAACACATATTGTATCGCCTTACCCTAACCCCACCACTAAACCCAACCTTCACAGGAAACCTGTTGCAAATTTCGATTAGATTTTTAACAGCTTTGAAGTACAAGGACACAAAGTATGTCCTCATAAACCACCTCAACATTGTAATAGTTTTACCAATGTAATTTTACAAACTGTCCTCTTAAACCACCAAAAACCAGTACACACAGAAACAAGATAAAGGTCAGATTAAAAGTTGTTTTGAAAGTGTCATAGGATAAAAGAGTCATTTATATGTAAAAAATGTTAATATATATATATATATATATATATATATATATATATATATATATATATATATATATATATATATATATATATATATATATATATATATATCAAAATGTCAAAATTTCAAACACTCCAGAACATTAAACATGAAATGAAATCTCTTCTATTAGAAATGTGCAAAACAAACATAAATGAATCACCAGTACACTGTGACTTATAGTTGGGTATACTGTTCTATGTCTTTTCTCACCCTGACCTTCTCATTTGACCTTTGCTTTAACCACAGCACTGTTTTATTCTGTTGTCAGGGAGTAACAACAAGCAGAGTAAAAATAAATATTGAAGCTTTTGTTTGTGGTCTTCATGACTAATCAATGATAAACTTAAAGTGAAGAGTGGGTGACGGACAGCAGATGTGGTTAAGATGGCCCTAGAGGAAACACCACACACGTGGGAGCATCTTTTGCGGAGAGATGAAAAAAATCGTATGAATCTCAAAATTAAAACCAACACGCCTTCAGAAACATGAAATCACTTTATTAGAGCCATCGAGGTGTATAATTCTTATGTGCTGATCAAATATAGACTTTGCTAATGAGTTGAAAAAGGAAACACAGATAATGAACTTATGTCTACTCTTGGGAGGATTGTTACAGTTTATTTATATCTGCATTGCACAAAACTTCTGATATCTCACGTGAACAGCACTGATCAAATTTTTATGCAGTGCCCATGGAAAATGCCAGCCATGCTGAATAAGGCTGTCTCTAAACCAGTTCATGTGGATTTATCTATTCTAGACTAAATAAGGGCTGATGTGATAACAAACAGGGAATTACGAAAGTCAAATGTTCTCCAGATGTGCTTTTGTTCCATCTTTTGAGTTCAGTTTGTCTACTATTTTTTTTTAAATAAGCAAAATTAGCATTTCTTAAATACACTATATTTCTATCCCTCGTCACTTCTTTTTCACTCCTGTCAAACATTGCAAACAGCCCCAACTTTATGGCCTTCATGACATCGGAGCTTCTCTTTTCTATTGGCAAATTGTTTCTTTTTTTAAGGTTTGTCTTTATTCCGTTTAAAAAGGTAATTTTTTCATAAAATTGAAATGATAAGGAAGGAGGAGTAGACGACGGAGCTAATTTTCTAACATGTAAGTAAAGTGAATAGCACTCACACAAAGTCTAACAAGAAGCTCATAAGAACTTTAGATACTGGTAAGGGCAACAGCCCCTTTTACACATACAGTCCTTT